ATAGACGTGATCTTGTTCTTCTAACTTAATAATGGTGTTTTTTTTTATTCACAAGACAGGTCTTCATGTGGTTATCTATTGACAACTACAAATTCGATCAAGCCACGAAGATGATGACTCCAACGGGTACATACAGATCCAATAAAGATGATGACATGACGATATTGTTGTGAATTTTGAGAATGGACCAATTGATGAGTTCGTTCAGTTCACATGGTGACGTGAGACGATGGAGATATACAACTACTACGGTATCTTCGACAGAATCGATGACTTTATGGCGAGGTATAAACGTCATTGATAACCCTACAGTGGGTATGAAGACTTTGAAGATGACCTCATGATTTTCCAATCTCATACATGGTAACACGTATGAGCTTGCGGGAGGGTGTTAGGAGATCTCGGAGATTACGAGATCGAGTTGAAAAAGAAAATTAATATTTGTGTATAAGTTATATTTCTTATTACATATATGTAAAAAACTGGTTAGACAAGTTATATTCTTGTATAAATAAGCCTATTGACTAATCAATAAAACTGAGAGAAACTATCCTACTACTAAGCTCTGATACCATAATAGATTTTGTTTCTCCAGTTTTATTGATTAGCCAATAGGCTTATTTATACAAGAATATAACTTGTCTACCAAATTCTTTACATATATGTAATAGGAAATATAACTTATACACAAATATTAATTTTCTTTTTCAATTTGATCTCATAATCTCCGAGATCTCCTAACATATCTTCTTTTCTTTTCCTCTTCCAATTTCTACAAATGATTGTACAAGAATGTGGAATAAATGGAACTATTTGAATGAAAATAATGGATGAGTAGAATAAAGAAGTTAAATAATTTTCTCTTTGTTCCATTTGTTTCTCTGCTAGAAGAATATTTTTTACCAAATTTGTTCATTTTTCAAATTTTCTTGGTCGGATGTTGAATTTTTTTTTTTTTTTACACTTGTCAATTCAAATGGTATGAATGTAAAAGAATAATTTCACCAACTTTTAATACATTTGAATGGTATTAAAATTTATAAGAATGCTAAATTCTACTAGTTTTTGTTATTCTAAATTTACAAACAAAAAAAAATTTAATACTGGAATATAATTGAGTGTAATAAAAAATAATTTCTTCCGATTCAGCTAGTTAATTCTACTCAAAATAATAGAGGTATATTTTCCTCCTAAATTTGTTCATTCATTCAAATTTTAGGTGGAATGGATTAGTTCTCCACACTTTTTAACCCAAATAGTAAAACTTGAGAGGAATGTTTAACTCTACCAATTTTAATTCAACTTAAAGGATAAAATTTTGGAGGAATGTTTAGTTCCAGCAACTTTTATTCCTCTAAATGTAAATGTAAAAAATGTGTGATGGAAAGAAAAAA